TGTTGATCTGTTGTCTAACTTCATCTGCTGGGTATTTTAGTTCTAAAAAGGTTTGCTGTAGATCTCTTAGGTGAGAGTCTCTGTCTGTAGAATTGGAACAGATGCGGCTGTAACGTAGTGCCTGGCTATATACAATGGACTGTTTGGTATGTTTGGGATGGTAGCTAGAGGCATGTAGATATGTTTGTTGGTCAGTTGGTTTACGGTATAAGGTGGTGTCTATGCGCCCATCCTGTATTTTTATAGTAGTGTCCAAAAAATGTATTTCTTGCATAGATTGATTCATAGTTAGGTTGATTGTGGGGTGAAAATCATTGAATTTCTGGTGGAAGGTGTCCAGGGTCTGTTGACCATGTGTCCAGATGATAAAAATATCGTCAATGTATCGCAGGTACAAGAGAGGTTTGAGTGGGTAGGAGTTTAGGAAACGTTCTAAATCTGCCATGAAGATGTTGGCATACTGTGGGGCCATGCGGGTGCCCATTGCTGTGCCGCTGATCTGAAGGAACAGGTCATCACCGCATTTGAAGTTGTTGTGGGTAAGGACAAATTGGCAGAGTTTGGTGGCAAAGTCCGCTGTGGTTTTATCTGAAATGGTGTTCCTTATAGCTTGTAAACCATCGTTGTGTGGGATGTTGGTATACAGAGATTCCACATCCATAGTAGCTAGTATAGTATTGTTGGGAAGATTATTTAAAGATTGTATTTTCCTCAGAAAATCTGTGGTGTCACGTACATAGCTGCGAGCACTGATGGCATATGGTTTCAGAACAGAGTCCATATAATGTCTGGGTTGTTTCTGAGATTATCTATGGCTCTCCTTTCAGCATGGTTTAGATTTTGTTGTAAGCGATGGTGTTTTCTGGTCACATCTGTTTGGATTCTGTGGCGGAAGCAGTCAATGTACAAGTCCAGTGTGGTAAGTCCAGTCCACCTGTCTTAAGGGTATGTCTGTGTTTGAATACGGTGTGAGCCTGTGACCTGTAATTTGTCATTACAAAAGACTGGCCAGGCTACCCAGGAAATCCAATCAAGTAACCTGCCAGACAGGAGATAGGAGAAAACAACATTCAAATGTTCTGTTTTAGACCGCCTTTTCTGTGATATAGGTGTGATGTATCTGAGGGGTGGTCTTAGGTTACACCCCTTCTGTGGTGTATGTATGATGTTTCTGGGGGTGGTCTTGATCTACAGGGTGGCAATTTCAAAAGTCTTTATAAGGCCTTGCGCGCCATTTTTCTGGGTTCCTCTTCCTCTCCTGCGTGTGAGGGGAGCACCCTGTTGCAACAGATCAATAAAGATCAGGCTTACTAGCTGCTTTGCTTCTCAATATTCTCTCGTTGGCCTCTGTTATTCTCTCCTACCAATAGGGAACCTGTGTAAGGACTCCATAAGGGAAAAGGGCAATTTTTGTTTACAACAATATGCATTGCAAAATCATACAAAAATTAAAGGTAAAGAGTCAGGAGTGTTGACAAACAAATAAATCCCTCCTTACTCTGGAGTAGTTGCCTTTAGTGATATATTTTTGTATGGCTTTGTAGTGTGCCAGTATATCACTACCCTGTATATTGTTTGTCAATGTGCATGGCATGGTGTTCATATATTGCATTTATAGTGTATCTTTTCCTCCAAGGAGCTTGAGATGGTAAATACCACCTCCCCATTTTATCCTTGCAGCTCTATTAGGATTTGGGTGTGTGTGTGCATATAACCTTTATTCTGTAAACTGCCTTGTTATACAAAACATGGTCAAGATATGCTTTAATAAATTGAATCAATATCAATGAAATAATGAGCTTCCAGGAGACAGGATTTAAGATATCAAAAAAAAATTATTACGTCAATTATTCCTGCATATAAAACCCACACACCAAGTTAAATGTTACATAATACTCTGGCTGCAATGACAAACTAAAACAAAACAGAAAAACCTAGTGCCATCATCACATTATTAAAAGGGGGGGGGGAGGGAGTGGGAGGCAGAACAGTCATATAGCCAACCTGAAGCACTATGATACTTTAAACAAGCATGACTTGCCTCAAGAAAATCTGGGAGTTGTAGTTTGTTAAACATGCTGAGAGGTGCTAGGAGGCCCCTATTTCCTTCACAGAGCTATAGTTTCAGAGTGGTTTAACAATCAATCCCTCTTCCCAGAAAACAGAGAATTGTAACTTGTGAAGGAAAAATGGATCTCCTCACAGTTCTCAGCACCCTTAACAAACAGCTCCCAGGAATTTTTGGGAGAAGCTACAGAAGTTGTATCGTAGTGCTTTAAATGTATGGCCTGAATGTAGCTTTAGGAGTCCCTGCCTTTCTTCCCTTAATCCACATTCTTTTGTCTTATTGTGCAATTCATGCTTTCCCACTCACTGTTCAAAACCCTTTAAAGAACACGGTGCACCTTGCCTAGCCTGAATAACTAGCATATCAGAATTAAATACTTCTAGCACTCAAATCTATTTAGATTTGGACCATGCAAATTTATTCTGGCATAAACCTGTGTGTGCCAAACCCACTGGGCGAGACACACAAAGTGGAATTCCTCAGCAGTGTCAAGCAGCACAACTGATGGCAGTGTGTGGGTGCGCACGCACGTGTGCACCAGGACTTTGTCAATGAGCTCACTCCTGATTTGCAGGGAGTTTGAGTCAGCTTCTCCATATGGATCAATAGCTACAAGAATCTGTAGTGATTGTGAATTTTGTTCAACGGATTAATGGTTGGAACAACTTAATTCATGGTTAGTGCAACTAAAACATTAGTTGCTTTCATCTGCTTTGTAATACACTTAAGTTTTGGGGTTTGATAAAAATGGCACGACTCTTTTCGTACAGGCAGATTAAACCTTTGAAATGGACACTTGAGTTTGATGGCGGTTTGGTTACATTATGAAGCATAGCAGCAGCTCTTTCGAACGAGCTAGTTGTGTGGTTGCCATATTTTTTTGTTGGCAGGGCTCCTGTGCCTTTGACACCTGCAAGGACAGGCAGAAATAAAGCTGGGCTGGTTTTCCCTCACTACAGAAAGCAAGGAGAAGTTTTATCTGGTTGGTTTCTGTGTGTGCACACACTTCGTGCAACTAGTAAGGCAAACAGGAATCCTGTTAGTGTGGAGGTAGCAAGTGGAAGCACTCTCTGCTGGGCTTGGCAGCCTTGTTCTAGATCTGTTTGCATGGCAGCTGGAGGCAGGAAGAATCCTGCCAAATTCAGCCGTGACGCCCAAATCCTTACACATACAGGCACACTCAGCATCTGGACCTATTGAGGTGTGCAGGAACAATGTAAAAAAACACCCTTCTACAAGAGGGGCCACTGTTGGAATTCAATTCCTCAGGTATGCATTGGAGAGCTTTCTGGACTGGGTCCTCCTTAATCCACCTTCACCCTTCCACATTCCCTCATTTCAACTTGCACTGTCTTACTTCCGCTACTTACCCTCCTCTTGAGGTAGGCAAATGTTATCCTATTTCAGCACATTCAAGACAACTGAGATACAGAGGAAACCAAAGGGACAGACCTGCAATTCAGGGGCAGAAGAGGCTGCTCAAAATCCTGACTTTCCTGAGCCATGCTGCTGTTCACTGGAGGACTGGGAGATATTCCAGCCTGGGAACTTCCAGATATTTTGAACTACAACCCCATCAACAACAGCCAACGTGAAGGTAAGTATTCAGGAATATTTGTAGTCCGCTGTTCACCCTGAGGGTCCTAGGGTCGACAGATAACACAGGGGTCGACAAAGTTTTTGTGGCTTGGGCCACTCCACAGTCCCACAGACGCCGTAGTGAGCCGGAGTGTGCACGCACGCATGCACAAACGCTATTTCCGGCGCTCCTTCTGGCGCGGAGGAGGAGCTTCCTGCAGCCAATGGGAAGCCAGCCAGTGTCGTGGAAGGCGCAGTGGCGTAGCGTGGGTTGTCAGCACCCAGGGCAAGGCAAGTAATTTGCGCCCCATAACCTGTGGATTTGCGCCCCCTAACCCTAACCCCCAGATGTTGCGCCCGGTGTGGCCGGCTCCCCCTGCACCCCCCACGCTACGCCACTGGGAAGGCGGTCCCCGCTCTGCTTTGTGTCGGTTTAGCGCAGCGCACGGTTAAATGACCCCCATGGGCTGCTTGTTAAATGGCCGGTTAAATGACCCCCATGGGCTGCTTGTTAAATGGCCGGTTAAATGACCCCCATGGGCTGCTTGTTAAATGGCCGGTTAAATGACCCCCATGGGTTGCTTGTGGCCCATGGGCCTTAGGTTGCCGACCCCTGACATAATACATCGAAACCGAAAATCAACAATTTAAAATGGGCAGCCTAAGAACAGCAGACAAAACAAGCAGTTGTAGTCCAAAAAATCTGGAAGGTTGCAGATTGGAGCTGGCTATCCCAAGGCCTGCTTTGCAAATGAAAAGACCCAACAAGGCAACAGCTATGGACAGCGGCCCGTCAGCGTCTCCTAGTCGTCAATGCCTCCATGGAACAGAGGCAGAGGGTACAACAGCCGACTGGAGTTTGGCCTGGCCAACAAGTGCCAGCAACCCTATTGCAAATTTTGTGATGTTTCTCTCCCTCTCGGCAGTCTCTAATGGAGGTGAGAGGAAGAACTCTGTTCTGCTGTCACCATCGGTTTAAAAATGGTTAACACGGGTGATGTTGGCTGCAAAGGAATTTCCGAGGCTTTACTTTTCTGCAGGGTTTTCCCCCTCCCCGTTTTGCGAAGTTCATTAGCATCAATGAATAGATGCCAGCTGAAAATACATCTAGCATTAGCCAAGCTTGGCGGTTTCAAAGCTTCTAGCTATGTTTACGAAATACAAGGAGACCAAACATGCTAAATTAGGTCACTCTCTCGTCTAGGGCATCGGGGGAAACGTTCCAGTACAAACTGAAAATGTGCCAATGCGTTAAGCCTAAGTTGCACAAGAAAGCTTCCCCTGAAAGTTTTGCCAATTCTAGATTTTCCAGGAAGCCCCCCTTACAGGTTAATTAACATAAATCGATATAATCTCCAGCCCCATCAGAGTTTTATAGAGAACCCAAGGAGACAAAATAGCAACTAAGGCAAAACAGAAACAGAAACATCAGTCAAACTTGATATTTAGGCTGCAACGCACGCTTACTTAAGAGCAGGGACCACTGAACTCTTACAGAGGGTTGCACTGTAAAACTTGCAGAACCCATCAGGTTAAAAGAATCAATTAACTGAGTTCTAATACTGAGGAACACACTTGCTGTGTCCTTTACTGAAACATACACATTACATATGATGGGATGCAGCTGTTTGAAATTTTAGTGTGTCTTGCTGCTGTTGCAATTTTACATTATGGACTATTCACAAGATTATTTTAAAAAAACCACCCACATGTCTATAGTACAAACAGTTCACAGTGAATTTTGAAATGTTAGGCCAGGAGAAGAACTGCCTTTTGGAATAATGGTCTATCCAGGATCCCAAGTAAAGCACATCAAGCAGCTTCATTGCCAAAAATAATTGATTATTTCCTCTCTCCTTCTGTGCTGTGCTTTCAGCTCTGGACCCCCCATGTCAGAAAAGGCACCCGTTGCCTGCAGCAACAAGGCCTTTCTAGTCAGTGCTTGCCGTGCAAAAGAAAGTCCAGCAAAGCTTTCTAATGGAACTGTTTTGTGCAGAAGAGGGCGACAATTTTCTTCCAGTAGAAACAAGATTCTCGGGCATTTAATGGGTGACAGGTTTTGGGGGCTCCATCACATTCTTGTGAATATTGGGGGTTTTTTTTGCCTAAGCTCTACTACTGTTTCCTGCCCCTGCAGGCCAGTCCCTAGAACACCATGGTCTGGGAGAATTGTAGGACAATTGCAGGACAAGAGAACAGGAGGACAGATCCCAAAAGGAACACTTCTAGGAATGCTCTCCTAGGATGAGAGTAGATGCAAAATATATACGTTGGGCTCTGTTTACTGCAAATGTACTTTGGACTCTAACCGTACTAGATCCAGAATACAATACAACTGTTATCACAACCACAGAGAAGAGGCAAGCAACAGCTGCCCAGATTTCTACATATTCCACTTAGAATCTGGTCAGATCCTCTTTGCGATGGCAAGCACAGTTCAAGCTGGAAAACAGGGAGAAGTTTTTGGCTTTTTTTTAAAAAAAGCAGCACCAGAGTCGTTCCTCTTTTTCCTCCCAAGCATAATAAATTCTCAGCCCATAAATACTTCCTCACCATACATTTCACATTTGAAGGTAGTTATTTCCTAAAGAAGGCAATTAAAACAATTACCAAAAAAACTGAGAAGCCACCGTCAGTAATAGCAATATGCTCCCTGACTAGAGGACAATGCCCGCCACTTTGCGTGCAAATGACACAGCCTTTTGAGTGGGGACCTCAAAGATTTGATGTAGTTCCCACGTAATTCTTCAGGCTGAAGAGGTCACCCTTCTTCACTTGGCTGAGATTAAGCAGAGCTGCTTCTGGGCTTCTGCTGCGAAGTTTCTTGGGAACAAACGAAGGCGAAGTAGCTCCTTTAAAAGAGCTAACAGATGCTCCCCCCCCCAAAAATGAGCCCTTGATGCTTTTCCTACAAGGCAAATAAAGGGCAACTCCTTCAGTCCGATATAGCAGCAAAGAGAAGGTTCCTCCCGGACTTCTTAAGTGGCCGCGACTCCACAGGCCTCTTCACAGTTCCCGTTGGGCTCCATGTTGGTCAAAGATACACCTTCTTCTGGGTCTTGCAGGGCATCTACATTGGGGAGAAAGGAAAACCGATTTAGAGCGTCTCAGTTACAAAGGGAAGACCATCATGGTTTCCAGTCAAAACGAAGCCAAGGAACTGAAACGGAGAGCATTTTAACGTGGTGCCGAAAATATTTTAGGCTATTTGACAAATGTAGGTTGCAGTTATCTGCACTCTTGACCCTGAAGAGTAATTGAATGCAGATAGTAGCAAGACGCAGAATTGCATGGTTTCATCAGCAGAATGTCCTCCCTCCGTGCATCCCCTAAATTTGTGTGGCAAGCAGAGCCGTCTTTCCCATAGGGCTTAGTGGTGCGTTGCGCCAGGGCGCTGGCCTCTCAGGGGCGCCCTAGCGAGTGGGGGAGCTGCGCAGCTTTGATGGCAGCCTCCCCTTTCCCTGCACGCCCACCAGCTGCGCCCCGCCAACTATATGGCTGGTGGGCATGCAGCTTCCTACCGAAGCCTCCGCAGGAGGAGAGCGATTCCTGCAAAAGGCAGCACACAGCCTTCCTGGGCTGCCTTCTTGGGCACCCTGACACCGGAGAGCATGTCCGCCAGCACGTTTTCCTGCTTCATCGCCGTCACCACACTGGGGATCAGGGCAGTGGGGGAGGCAGAGGACATTTTCTACCACCCCCTCCCTTGTTTTGGAGTTGCCGGGGGGGCACCAGAGGGATCTTTGCACCACAGAGCCGGATATGCTTAAGACAGCCCTGCTGGCAAACTCTAGGTAAAGGTAAAGGTACCCCTGCCCGTACGGGCTAGTCTTGCCAGACTCTAGGGTTGTGCGCCCATCTCACTCTATAGGCCGTGGGCCAGCGCTGTCCGGAGACACTTCCGGGTCACGTGGCCAGCGTGACATCGCTGCTCTGGCGAGCCAGAGCCGCACACGGAAACGCCGTTTACCTTCCCGCTAGTAAGCGGTCCCTATTTATCTACTTGCACCCGGGGGTGCTTTCGAACTGCTAGGTTGGCAGGCGCTGGGACCGAACGACGGGAGCGTACCCCGCCGCGGGGATTCGAACCGCCGACCTTTCGATCGGCAAGCCCTAGGCGCTGAGGCTTTTACCCACAGCGCCACCCGCGTCCCTGCTGGCAAACTCTACTCCCCCCCAAAAAACTCTCTGTACACATTCCTGTTTGCAGATATCCTTCTTAAACCTCAGCAGCAGCACCGAAATTGGCACACAGTCCCAGACACCATGGGGGCTAGGAACTTTAGTAAAGGTAAAGGGACCCCTGACCATTAGGTCCAGTCGTGACCGACTCTGGGGCCACCGTCAGGGCCAGATTTAGGTTTGATGAGGCCCTAAGCTACTGATGGTAACGGAGCCCTTTATACCTCAAGTTGCCCTTTGAGAACAACAATTGTCACTGTTTTTTGTGTTGAATATATGCTATACGGTCAGTGATGGTCCTAATAGGTATCTCAAGCCATTTGCACATAACAAAATATGTACTTTATCAAAGTAATTGTTTTTTATCTTATATTTTGGAAATGTAAAGTAAAGTGACCCCTGACCATTAGGTCCAGTCGTGACTGACTCTGGGGTTGCAGCACTCATCTCGCTTTATTGGCCAAGGGAGCCGGCGTACAGCTTCCGGGTCATGTGGCCAACATGACTAATTCGCTTCTGGCGAACCCGAGCGGTGCACGGAAACGAAGTTTACCTTCCCACCGGAGTGGTACCTATTTATCTACTTGCACTTTGATGTGCTTTCGGACTGCTAGGTTGGCAGGAGCCGGGACCGAGCAACGGAAGCTCACCCCGTCGCGGGGATTCGAACCGCCGACCTTCTGATCGGCAAGCCCTAGGCTCTGTGGTTTAACCCACAGCGCCACAGGGTTTCAAACCAAAATCAGGAATCTGATTCTGGACTCCACATGGGATGACACCCGTGTAACAAAAGTTGCGGCGGATCAGCCGTCGGATCCCAAGAGCTGCCTCCCCTACTGCACCACAGAGCCCTCAAGCAGACCTGACCTTCACTGGAGCTGCTGGATGCTGCGTCCGAACGCCCTTCCTTCCGCCGACTCCTCCGAGACCAAGGGATGCACTGCAGGAAGGCAGGGATCCTCTGCTTCTTGGCTTCCGCCACGTCTTTGGAATGAAGAAGAGAGCAAGAGGTCAGGCCAGATGTACAAAGTGCAAACCTCCCGGCAGATGGGATAATCTGGCTCAGGCAGATCTGCTTTGCCAAATCTGGAGTAACACTCCAGAACCCCCAGGGGCAGTTAAGGTGTCCTGAAGCGCACGAAGAGTCCTGGGGGACGAAGAGAGTGGCTCATGTAGGCCAGCATCCTGCTCTCAGAGCTGCCGGTCAGATGCCCCTGGGGCGGGTGAAAGCAGGAACTGAGTGCTTTACTTTAAGGTCCTAAACGGCCTCGGTCCTGTATACCTGCAGGAGTGTCTCCACCCCCATCATCCAGCCTGGACACTGAGGTCCAGCTCCGAGGGCCTTCTGGCGGTTACCTCACTGCAAGAAGTGAAGGCCTTCTCGGTGGTGGCGCCCGCCCTGTAGAATGCCCTCCCAGCAGATGTCAAGGAAATAAACAACTATCTGACTTTTAGAAGACATCTGAAGGCAGCCCTCTTTAGGGAAGCTTTTAACGGCTTAGCGGCTATTAACGGCTTAGCGGCTTTAAGAAAAAGGAAACAAACGCGCAAGAACTCGTAAGAACTCGCAAGACGTTTCGTCTTACGAAGCAAGCCCATAGGGAAATTCGTCTTGCGGAACGACTCAAAAAACGGAAAACCCTTTCGTCTAGCGAGTTTTTCGTCTTGCGAGGCATTCGTCTTGCGGGGCACCACTGTAAAAAGGTAAAAACCCTACTGGGAAATGATATACAATGAATTGAAGAAAATGTTGAAAATAACTTTTGTAAAAAAAACACCCAGAAGCCTTTTTGTTAGGTATTTTAGGTCAAGACCTACCAAAAGAAAAGAGGACTATTTTCATGTATGCCACTACAGCAGCAAGAATGTTGATTGCACAAAATTGGAAGACTGGAGAAATACCAACTAAAGAACAACGACAAATGAAGTTGTTGAACTATGCAGAACTGGCAAAAATGACAGAAAGACTAAGAGAAAAGAGACTTTGAAAAAGATTGGGAACCATTCCTATTATATTTGCAGAAACAAAGAAAGTCAATAGACTTGATGGCAGGATTTAAATAAACATTCACATTATCAGCATCAGAAAATGTTTGGAAGATATGATGGTGTATTTTATTTTTATGTTTTAGGCTTGATGTTATGTTATTAATAACTTTTTCTGTTGAGAGACAGCAAAGTAAAAACAAAGTAATAACAAACCAGAAGCGCAAGTTGGGGGAAGTCTTGAAGGGGAGGGAGGGAGGAATATATACTAAACGTTGAGAATTTGAGATGTATGTAATGAATGAAAAAGAAAAATGACTAAAAATTTTAAAAAGACTATAAACATCACCTGGGGGGGGGAGGCAGGCAGGTGCATGCTTCTGCTTCTCTGAACTCACTGGGAAAGTGAGTAAAGATGCGTGGGATTTGGGCCCAGCGGAAAGAAACAAGATACCTCTCCTCTTTGCAGCGAGGTGGCCTGGAATGACCCCAGGGTCACCTTTAAGAGGCTGGGAGATTACCAGCCTCCGTCCTGGAGGATTAGAGGAGTTTGGCAGCCAAGGATGTGGCTGGAGGGGCCGGAAGGCAGTTAGCGGAGCAAGGGAACTGCAAACCTGCCCTGAGAAGCAGAACTCTTCAAGGAGGTGGATTTGCCCTGGAACCAGACCCCTAAACTTTGTTGTGAATCCATCTGCTTTTGCTGGCTGAGAAGAATGGCTGCTTCTTGAAAACACTGAAGTGTTTGGATAATGGCAGATGAAAGTTGATGGACTATATGGAATTGCGGAAATGACTGGCAAAAATCCGAGACGCAGGGAGAAGAGCTGGTTGAAAAGACTGGAAAGTTTAAAGACATATTTACAGAATATTGTAAAATTAATGGAATGTAGAAGAATGTTGGAAGGAAGTTATATGGGCTTTAGTAGAAATGTTATAAGGAATTAAGTATAAATAGATTAATAGAATATTAAAGGAAAAAACAAGGCTAGAATGTGTTAAGATAATTATAGGATAGAAAACAGAGGAAGATGGAAAGGAATTGCTGAAACAATAACAGAAGTGGAATACAAAAAAGGGAGGTGTGAGGAGGTCGTTGAAATAAGTGAATGAAAGATAAGATACTGAAAAATGTTTGAGGTGTTTTAAATTGTTTTTGTTTGTTTTTGTTCTGTTTTGTTAGTTTAATGTGTTTAGTGTTATGTAGTGTTTTTGTATTATATTGTTCTTTTTTTGTAGTGTTTAAATGGTTGGAAAAGTAATAAATATTATTAAAAAAAGAGAGAGAAACGGAATCTCAAGGCCAAGTCCTCCTTCACGCAACACATGATTAATCTATGGAACTCCCTGCCACATGAGGCAGTGATGGCCAAAACCAAGATGGCTTTAAAAGAGGATTAGACAAATTAATGGAGGAGAGGTCGATTGATGGCTGTGCTCTGCAATCAAGAGGCAGCAAAGCTTCTGAATCCCAGTTGCAAGAAATATCCGGATGCTGGACTTGGTGGGCCAAAGGGATATTCCTGCTAGATCAAGCCAATGCTCTTATGCTAGACCTCATAGGGTTGTTGTGAGGAATGAATGGGGGGGGGGACAAAACCACGTGGGCCACAGTCACGGCCGGATTTAGGTTTGATGAGGCCCTAAGCGACTGATGGTAACAGGGCCCTTTATACTTCCAGCTGTCCTTTGTCAACAACAAATTGTCACTGTTTTTTGTGTTGAATATATGCTATATGGTAATTTATGGATCTAATAGGTATCTCAAACCATTTGCACATAACAAAATATATACTTTATCAAAGTAATTGTTTTTTATCTTATATTTTGGGAATGTAAAGTAAAGTGACCCCTGACCATTAGGTCCAGTCGTGGCCCGACTCTGAGGTTGCGGCGCTCATCTCGCTTTACTGGCCGAGGGAGCCGGCATACAGCTTCAGGTCATGCGGCCAGCAGGACTAAGCCGCTTCTGGCAAACCAGAGCAGCGCACGGAAACACCGTTTACCTTTCCGCCAGAGCGGTACCTATTTATCTACTTGCACTTTGACGTGCTTTTGAACTGCTAGGTTGGCAGTGTTGGCTATTTGCAGTTTAGTAGCACTGCAGAGAGCTTGCTGGGGAGACCATGCATTAAAAAGGGACTCAAAAATAACTTAAACAAGGCTTTAATAACAAAAACAAAAACTCCTTATACACTAAATACATAAACAACAAACCAGACCCAACCACCAACCCATCCCCCAGGGTAATGAGGGAGCTTAGGTGCTGCTCCTTATATACTATATATACTGTATATCCTTATATACTGTGTCAATTGCTGACACAGCTTGATTAACACAACTCAGCAGCACCTGCTATGTTTCACAGCTGTAAGACTGGGTCTTGTTATTTGCCCTGGCCCTTAAAGACATACACAACTTGTGAAGCAATAAGGAACCTTCACATTTTAAAGTGACCATTCAACAGGCAGGAGCAGGGACCGAGCAACGGGAGCTCACCCCATTGCGGGGATTCGAACTGCCGACCTTCTGATCGGCAAGTCCTAGACTCTGTGGTTGTTATTATTATTGTCTTGAGAGTCCTATGGACTGCAAGAGATCAAACCTCTCCATTCTTAAGGAAATCAGCCCTGAGTGCTCACTGGAAGGACAGATCCTGAAGCTGAGACTCCAATACTTTGGCCACCTCATGAGAAGAGAAGACTCCCTGGAAAAGACCCTGATGTTGGGAAAGATGGAGGGCACAAGGACAAGGGGACGGCAGAGGACAAGATGGTGGGACAGTGTTCTCGAAGCTACTTTTGTTGTTGTTGTTTAGTCGTTTAGTCGTGTCCGCCTCTTCGTGACCCCCTGGACCAGAGCACGCCAGGCACTCCTGTCTTCCACTGCCTCCCGCAGTTTGGTCAAACTCATGCTGGTCGCTTCGAGAACACTGTCCCACCATCTCGTCCTCTGTCGTCCCCTTCTCCTTGTGCCCTCCATTTTTCCCAACATCAGGGTCATTTCCAGGGAGTTTTCTCTTCTCATGAGGTGGCCAGAGTCTTGGAGTCGTTTGACCAAACTGCAGGAGGCAGTGGAAGACAGGAGTGCCTGGCGTGCTCTGGTCCAGGGGGTCACGAAGAGTCGGACACAACTAAACAACTACAACATTATTGTTGTTGTTGTTGTTGTTACAGTGGTACTCAAGTTAAGAACTTAATTCGTTCCGGAGGTCCGTTCTTAACCTGAAACTGTTCTTAACCTGAAGCACCACTTTAGCTAATGGGGCCTCCCGCTGCATCGCTGGAGCCCGGTTTCTGTTCTCATCCTCAAGCAAAGTTCTTAACCTGAAGCACTATTTCTGGGTTAGCGGAGTCTGTAACCTGAAGCGTCTGTAACCTGAAGCGTATGTAACCCGAGGTACCACTGTATTATTATTATTATTATTGTTGTTGTTGTTGAAATGTACATCCAGTTATTTTCCCCTTTAATTTTGGGGGGTCCCCCCAGTGGCGTAGCGTGGGGGGTGCAGGGGGGCCGGCCGCACCGGGCGCAACATCTGGGGTTAGGGCAAAACCATGGGTTAGGGGGCGCAAATCCACAGGTTAGGGGGCGCAAATTACTTGCCTTGCCCCGGGTGCTGACAACCCACGCTACGCCACTGGGTCCCCCAAGAAAGTGGGGCCCTAAGCTATAGCTTGTTTAGTTTATGGGTAAATCCGGCACGTCCACGTGGAGCTACCTGGGCAAAAGAGAGCTGGGTATAAATGCAAAAAATCAATCAATCGGGGCGCTGCCTGCCTGCTGCCCCGCTGCGCTCACCTGCTCGGAGCTTCAGGGCGGCTCTCAGCGCCCGGCAGGCGGCGGCGCGGGCTTCGGCGGCGCCCTGTCCGGCTCCGGGGCTGTAGGATGCGGCTTGCAGGGTGTCGTGCTCCGCCGGGCGCCTCCTCCGGAAGACCTGGCGGAGCAAGGCGTCGAGCTGCAGCCGGGCGCCCTCGGCCTCGCCGCCGCCCAGCACCACCACGCCCACCACCCCGGGGCGCGCCGCCGAGGACAGCCGGCCGCGCACGTCGCGGAGGATCTCGCGCAGGCGGAGTCGCTCCCGGCGAGCGCGCAGCGGAGACAGAGGCGCAAGCGACGCCTGGCGGAAGAGCACGAAGAGCAGCGCGCACGAGGAGCGCGCCGCCGAGCCCCGGCCGCCCAGGCGCACGCGGACCTTGCGCGCCCCTCCGGCGGGAGGATCGGGCTGCGCCTCCGGCTCCTTGCGCGGCTCGGGCTCCGGCTCGGCGAAGAGGTCCCGGGCGAAGGTCTCCAGCAGCGCCCGCGGCGCAGGCTCGCCCTCGCGCGCCTCGCCCACCAGCAGCAGCCGCGCGCGCCCGCCCGCGCGATCCACCAGCGCCTGGAACTCGCGCAGATGCGGCGGAGGATCCATGGAGAGAGAGGCCGGCCGAGGAGCAGGCGCCGCCCGCCCGCAAGCTCAGCCCCCGGCCGGGAAGGAGGGTCGCCTGGAGTCGCCGCGGGAACCGCCTCTCGGAGGAGGAGAAAGAGCAAGCTGCCAGCCACGAGGAATTCACATTTTTTTTGCTTGCAGATCCTTAATTGGCTGAGGATTTTATTTATGTTAAGTGATGAATTGAAAAAAATATATAGTTCAGCCCCGCCCCCACAAGGTCTAAGGGACAGTGGACCGGCCCCCTGCTGGAAAAGTTTGCTGACCCCTGAATTCTATTGTCTCCACTTTCAGTTCATAGTCTTTTTCAGAGTTTACATTTGGGGAGAGACAGTTTTGTCTGAAACATTCCAGTTGGGGGAAGGGAGGGTGGAGGGATGGCGATACAGTGGTACCTCTGGATGCGATCAGGATCCGTTCCGGAGCCCCGTTCGCATCCAGAAGCGAATGCAACCCCCTGGGTCATGATTCGCCGCTTCTGCGCACGCGCACTTTCATTTTGAGCGTCTGCGCACGCACGAGCGGCGAAACCCAGAAGTAACGCTCTCTGTTACTTCTGGGTCGCAGCAGCGTGCAACCCGAAAATACAGTGGTGCCTCGCAAGACGAAATTAATCCGTTCTGCGAGTCTCTTCGTCTTGCGGTTTTTCCGTCTTGCGAAGCACGGCTATTAGCGGCTTAGCGGCTACAGTCTTAGGCTTAGCGGCTATTAACGGCTTAGCGGCTTTAAGAAAAAGGAAACAAACTCGCAAGAACTCGCAAGACGTTTCGTCTTGCGAAGCAAGCCCATAGGGAAATTCGTCTTGCAGAACGACTCAAAAAACGGAAAACCCTTTCGTCTAGCGAGTTTTTCGTCTTGCGAGGCATTCGTCTTGCGAGGTACCACTGTACTTATCCCGAAGCTACTTCAACCCGAGGTATGACTGTACTGTCTCTTCCCCCTTCTATTGCCTATTCTTAGTGTAAGGGGATGGGTTCTGTCAGCATCACATTGGTATGTCCTGTGCTTGTATATTTATTTATTTTTATTGATATTGAGGGAGGTCAGGTTGTTCCCATGCTTGCTTGGTTGTGTTTAGTTGATTGTGGTGTGGTTTATTTGTGTGAGGGAGCTGGGGCTCGGTTGTTGGGTCAGGTGTGCCATATTGATTCCTATGCCGTTGGAGGGAATAGCTCATTGTCCTGTTGTGCTGCTGCGGATGTCACAAAGGGGAACCACACTGGGCTGAAGGCATCCTCCATAGCCTGTCCCCGTCCTCGTTTGTTGGTTGGTTAGCTTTTCTGGCAGGGTTTCCCATACAGTGGTGCCTCGCAAGACGAAATTAATTCGTTCCGCGAGTTTTTTCGTCTTGCGATTTTTTCGTCTTGCGAAGCACGGTTTCGGGAAAGTTTTGGAAAAGCTTCAAAAATCACCAAAGTCTTAAAAAACCTCAAAAAAGGCTACCACACCGCGTGCTATGAGTTGCTCCTCGAAGTCAAGTCGCAACTTGTTTCCTTTTAAGAAAAAGGAAACAAACTTGCAAGACGTTTCCGTCTTGCGAAGCAAGCCCATAGGGAAATTCGTCTTGCGAAGCAGCTCAAAAAACAAAAAACCCTTTCGTCTTGCGAGTTTTCCGTCTTGCGAGGCATTCGTCTTGCGAGGTACCACTGTACATTTTGGTACCAGTGGCCTATGTTCACTCCTGATAGGCCCTTCCAGTGTCTAGTTATGCTACAGTGGTACTTCTGGTTGCGAACAGGATCCGTTCCGGAGGCCCGTTCCCAACATGAGCAGAACACAACCTGCAGCGGCACGTCTGTGCACGCACAGGTTGCGATTCACCACTTCTGCGCATGTGCGTGATGTCATTTTGCACATCTGCGCGTGCGCGAGCGGCAAAACCCAGAAGTAACCCTTTCTGGTACTTCCGGGTCGCCACGGGACGCAACCTGAAAAACGTATCATGAAGCAAACGTAACATGAGGTATGACTGTATTTCTAGCTGCTGGTTCTAGTACGATGAGGGAGAAAAGCTTTCTCCGCATCATGTATAAATTTACACACCTCGATTGTGTCCATCCGTCCCCAGTTCACCCTTTTTTCCAACTTAAAAAACCCTAGCTCCTCTTCCCCCTCTTTTTCATTTAGCACCACCCTTTGGGGGCTCCAGAATCTCCATTGCAATACAGAAAATGTAGCATCCAGAAACTGTAAAATCTGGCACAATCGCCTTGTAAACAACATGGCCTTTAGAACGTCCTTTCATGTGAAGGGAAGCTTTTAATGTTTAATAGGTTATTGTATTTTAATACGCTGTTGGAAGCCGCTCAGAGTGGCTGGGGAAACCCAGCCAGATGGGTGGGGTATAAACAATAAATAATAATAATAATAATAATAATAATAATAATTATATTATTATATTATTATTATTATTATTATTATTTACCTCAAATCCACCCTCTCTTGCCGCCGTCCTGTCTGGGTCACAGGAGTATTTTTGCTCAGAGCTCTACAGGGGAAACATGGCTGAGAGATTAAGGTTCTGCAATCCAATCCACATTTACTTCAGAGTAAATCCCATTGAATTTGGAAACTCACCCGAGGACAAAAGTGGCCACTCCTTTTACTCTTTGCCTTTTATTTCCTCAAATTCTGGACCAGGAGAATGGGCGTAGGCAGGATCTGGGGGGGGCAGGACTTAATTGGGGGCAGAACCAATGTGATTGGGCAGTTAAGTTAGGTATTTCTATTGTTTTACTAGATGGGGGGGAAGCTGCCCCCATGCCCCCCCCAGGCTACGGCCATGGCCAGGAACTGGTTTGGTTGGTTAAATGTCCGTCTGCTAGGAATGGGCTGTTGAGGTGATGGAGTCAGATTGTGTAATCCGCTCTGGGATCTTCTGGAAACAAAACCGGGAGTAACTGAGTGGCAGATCATATGCATAAACCGGGAACACTTGTTCAAGCCAGATGAGTTGCAGCACCTCCTGGTCAATCCCTTTCGTGTCTCCTTTGTTGTAAATCTCTGCCGCTCCTTTAGTTTTCAAAGGCCTGAGGTTCCTTCCAGAAGAGTACAAAAGATATTGTAATAGATCTATGGTGCTAAATGTTTAGGCTTAGTAAATCACAGGATTGGATGGGCTCCAACCACAAGCCTATTAAGATTTAATTAGAATTTGTATGTTATAACTGGCATATCTCAATGTTTATGCAATGGGTTTGAGGTGTTTCATTTGTGCGTAAGGAATGTGTATCGGACCTTGAGAATGTAATCAAGATCCATGTGGATTGAGATGTGTGTGGACCTACTTCTGAGCATCAGCAATTGGCATAGGAAAAGTTAACTAACATCCTAAGTGTGTACCAGCCCTTAATCCTAGTCAATCAGGGCGACCTTGGCCCTGAATGGGAAGCTTGGACTTTGAAAGTCATTCTAATCTTCCTTGCTGTACTATACTGTATTGTTTTAATTAGGGTTTTTATGGAGCAGTCAAGTAATTTCGTTGTCCCCGAGAGGGGGTAATGACAATAAAGATATTATTATTATTATTATTATTATTATTATTATTAATCAACAAATGTTGATGATGCCTGGAGGGATTAACCATTAGTACTTCAAAGCATCAGAATAACGGGGTATTAGTATGCAAATGAATAAAGAGGGCTTAAAGGTAAAGGTAAAGGTACCCCTGCCCGTACGGGCCAGTCTTGCCAGCTGCTCTGGTGAGCCGGCACCAGAAACCTTCCCTATTTATCTACTTGCACTTAAGACTGCTTTCGAACTGCTAGGTGGGCAGGAGCTGGGACCGAACGACGGAAGCTCACCCCCGCCGTGGGGATTCGAACCGCCGACCATGCGATCGGCAAGCCCGAGGCGCTCAGGTTTTACCCACAGCGCCACCCGCGTCCCTAAAGAGGGCTTAGTTTTTAGTAAGAACAGAATCAGGAGATGAGACCAGGAGGTGGAGAAGGAATCATGCTTTGTATGTGCATTGGAGAGCCAGATAGGCTAATATATTTTCCCCATCTCACCTGGACAGTAGAATAAGATGCATTTATAGAAGCCATTTATGCTGTTATGCCGACATTAATTTCAATGCTGCCTTCCCGAACTGGTGTGCTGCACCATGGGTTTTGGACTATTGTCACCATCAACCTTGATCACTGGATAGCTGTGGCTGATGGGAGTTGTAGTCCAAACAGGGGCGTAGGAAGGGGGGCGGAGGGGGCGGGGCGCCCTGGGTGCCACTCTTGCACGGCGACTGTATTGGCTGCTGAGCATGCGCAGTCCGTACGGGATGCCACACATGCGCAGTCCATACGGTCACCTTGCAAGTGGCAGTCTATACGGACGCCATGCAAGCGGCAACCCATATGGAATCTGTGGCATTCCGTAGAGTGCACATGTGCAGCATCCTGTATGGACTGCAATGTGCAGCATTCCATACGGAGTGTGTGCATGCGGGATGCCGCACATGCACAGTCTGTACGGGATACTGCACATGCACACTCTATATGGGCTGCTCCGCCCCAGGTGCCGGAATGGGTTTCTCCGCCGCTGAGTCCAAAACATCTGGAATGGCATCACCTTGGTAGCCGGCACGGAGGACTCATTTGCTGGCGAGGAACTTTTCTGTGATGTTTACTCTCAGCTTGGCTTCCTGCCACTGACAACCTATGACCCTAACCTTCAGATTTCAACGTTTGAAATGTGAGCATAACAGAGAGAGCACACATCAAACATGTTTACCTTTTCTTCATTGATTAACAGGAGGTCTTGTTGGGTTCCAAGGTTTCCTTTTCCGGTTTGCCGATGAGAGGATTTTGCCTGCAGCCCTAATGAGTGGATTTTTGAAAAGCGGTGGCTAACTTTGTTAACTTTGTCTTCAAAAACATCTTGGAGGTCCCGGGCCACAGGGAGGTTAGGCTGGCCTCAACCAGAGCCAGGGCTTTTTCGGCTGTGGCTCCAATCTGGTGGAACGCTCTGTCACAAGAGACCAGGGCCCTGTTAAAAGGCAAGTGTCTAACTTTGTTAAGAATGGTGTGCTAAGACTTACTGGTTAGTATTAGCTTGCACAGAGGGGGTCAGAAGACTTTTGAATGGCTTCTCCAAAACTGCCTCTCAGTTAAAGCTGCCTGTGTGCTCCATCAGTTAT